AGATTGTAGTTATTTTAATAGATAATGAAGTGCATTTTCGCGCTAATCCTAAGAATAACAAATACACATTAGAAGTAGAGTAGAGAGGGCTTAAAGATATAATTTAAAACTTTTCCTTATATAATGAATTTAACAAATATTTGTATTAACCATTAACCAAACCGCTATTAATTCCATTGATTAAAAAGAAAGTCATATTTTATTATAGTTTTTATTAAATTAGTCGTTTGATATATTTTATAATGCCCTTTGAATATAATTATGAAAATTAGTATTAGAATTAATTATTATGAAACGAGACTTCTCGGCATTCCATGTATTCACTGTGAGGGTGCGCGGGTCCATCGTAAAAGTCTATAATTTTGGCAGGAACACATTTAAAACAAAACTATATGTTTTTTTTTCGGATATACTACGGATTCTTCAGTTATTTCACATTTTTCAAATATTCCGATTACTTTACAGATATCATCACGGATAGACGAGATAATTTAATTACGAGCACTTAACAATAATAATAGTTATATAATACCTAGAATTAAAATTAAATTATTATTAGTGTCATTCATGGACGGAAATATGAAGAGTGAATAAGTTGACATGACACACTTAAAACTGGTTTTAATGAGTCAACACAAAAGTCAAACTGTTAAGGTTCAATACAATAATATTGACATTGAGTAAACATTTAATATTATTGAAAGCAGCTTCGATTTACTTCAAGGATAAACGGAAGAGCATACTGACATAATTTGTCTGAGACGAAACAGATATACATAGCTATATATATATATATATATATATATATATATATAGCTATATTGTCTTATTGTTCCTGTTAACAACAAAAATGTAACACAGAAAACATATTAAGTTTTAATTATTGGAGTAAGATCACTAAATAAGTGCTCCAATACAGGGAAAAACGAATGCTTTTACGACAGGCAGGCGGAAGGTCGTAAAAACAATTAGCCAAAACTATTCACAACATGTAAGGCAGACCCTGGCTAAAACTGGGACATTGCCAGATAGAAGAAGATTGCCTGTATACTTTATGACAGTTTTCAAAGTTATGGCCATCCAATCCCATCGAGTACAACCTGAAGATGAAAGCGAATATACCTTCTGTCGCTTTCAGATTTTAGATCCTCTAAAAGTATTTTTTTTATTCGTCAATATATGGACTATAGACGATAGTCTGTTAATTATAAAAGTCTTTGTTTGGAACTCTTTATTTAAATGAAACTATTAAAACTGTTTGAGTAACTGTAAATTGTTATAACCTTGTTAATCATCCGAAATAACTATTGTTGTTGATCCTTTTGTAGCTAAGTTTTTATATTGAGTTATATTTTACACTGTAGTAGAAATTATACCCCTTTTATTGGGATAACTGATAAGATCGAAGTTCAACCTTCGTGTGAGACTCCAACAAATCTCAGGAAATAAATATTTTTCTAGTGACAAAATTTTTAAGAAGTATTATTTACTAGTCCTTTTGAAGTGTTTTTTTTTTACATACATATGTTATTTTTAGTATTTAGATGTTTCTGATTGCCGTAGTTATATAAAAGTTGTTTGAAAAAATTAAATATATCTGCTTTAAACTGGATATTAAAAAATGCAAACAGTATAATAATCCATTTTCATTTCACAAGTATTTATTTTCAAGACGATTTAAAAAGTAATTAGATCTGGGTAAGAATAGATAATGCTCATTCCTTTATCCTAAACTAACTTTGTCATAAGAAATAATATTGAGTTCTTAAACAATACACGTCATCAAAATATGTCTTTTTAATTTGAAATAAAAAATTAAAAACTTCAGATTGTTAACGAGAGACTGGCTGGCTATAATTATTTATAACACATCGCAAGTATTCACATAATAATTAATCATCTCAATAAAAAAGACATGTTATATGCAATTTATGTAGATAAATAATATATTTTCATTGGATGAGATCTCATTATTTTTAATACGAGGATAATATATTAAAAATCGACTTAAACGTAGTAGCTTCCTATACTATAAACCTCCAGTTACGATTTGTTTTTATAAATCTTTGATGAATTCTTATTGCTGTAGATTGCGTATTGAAAAGGTAGGTACTAGGTACTATTTATAAAATTTTATTTAACTTGAATTAATTATTGGAAAATTATGTATTTTTATCCTAATAATAAAGCGAATGTCATAGTTATATTATAATATGTAACTCATAAGGATGATTATTGTGCCTTCGTGCAAAACGTACTCAGAAGATTTCGATAAAACTTTACGGTAATGTAATTTAGAAATTAGGAAAACATATATATAATTTATCTCGAAATTGATTTTATTTGGAGCGGAATAACTGCATAGCAGATTTATTTTGTATGAAGTCACATGACACTCACTATACATATTCTAGGTTTGCATGTAATTATATAAATTTTAATATATACATATGTATTTAATCTGTGCCCAATTCGAAAATAAATGAAAAGAATTTAGCAAGTAAAAACTATTAACATATTAAACTTATTCTACTGTCAGTCGATGACCTTAAATGAAATAATTTTCACGTCTTTTTCTTCTTAGTTATAGTACTCAGACTGATACTGATTTTTCTTGACAATTACAGAGATATATTTTGTGATATATACTATACTATAATATATATATATATATATATATATATATATATATATATATATATATATATATATATATATATATATATATATATATATATATATATATATATCTTCTTTTGAAAGAAAACAAAATTGAAGACATCTTTCCTAATCTAGAAATGGCACTAAGAATCTTTTTAAGCATGGTAACTAACTGCAGTGGTTAACTCTCTTTCTCCAAATTCAAACGAATAAAAAACGAATTAAGACGTACAATGCTTCAGATAGATTAAACAGATTGTCGCTAATGTCGATAGAATGTTAATTGCTCGGAAACATAGATTTTGAAGATGTGATTAACAAGCTTGCTCAACTCAACTCTAGAAGTGTACCTCTTCAATCAACATATAAACTTATATAAGTACTTATAGTGGATGATGATTGTTTAGTGTGGATTACATTATATTATCTATTAAGTAAAGAAATAAAAATAAAGCTAAACTATGCACATCTAATATTATTCTAACAAAATTGTGCTTTATTCATTCGGTCATCGCCATGGGGCCCCATTATCCTAATGTGCCCAGGGCCTCAAATAGGTGAAAGACGACCCTGGATTACATAAGTGTTTCACGCATGCCTGTATAGTTAAATAGCAACTAATGTGTAGTTTTTTTTCAATTTGAGTAAAATTTCAAATTTGTTATTGATAGCGATTTAATAATTCATGAATAGAATCCCTACTAATATCATAAATGCGAAAGTAACTCTGTCTGTCTGTTACGCTTTCACGCCTAAACCACTGAACTGATTTTAATGAAAATTGGTACAGAGATAGAGTTGACCTTGAGAAAGAACATGGATAGTTTTTATCCCAGACTTTTGAAAGGTTCTCTTGGAAACGCGATATAACCGAACTCCACGCGGGTGAAGCTGCGGGCGGAAAGCTAGTTAATGATAATTGGAAATTAGAGGAGACAAATTCTATAACTTAAAATTTTATGTTCTGCTTGTTTTCAATACTACGAAATACATAACAAATAAGTACAATTCATTTGCCATTGAATTGATTTCACGTGTTTTTATTATTTTCATATTTCTAATTTAATGCATCGCGTAATACATTAAAGTACGAAATGTTGCAAACAGTAGTATTATACGGTCTAAATTACTTATTATTTTTTGCGAATCACACAAGGGAAGGCAATGAAAATTATAAAAGGCATTTTTTTATCTCTTAATAAATGCAAATTTTTATATTAAATAATGTTAATCATTATAATTTATTTTAGATATCCTGTATTTAATCCCGTTTGTGTTTTTATTGACAAACGACGTTAAGGGGGAAAAATGTCAATGTCCACCTGACAGTCGACCGGTGTGCGCCAATAATTTTGAAACATATCCGAATATTTGTACATTCAAATGCATACAAATGACTCGACCAAACTTGAGCATAATCGGTGAAAAGGGTAAAACGTGTGACGAAGTCTTTAGCGACATCCATGGACCACCATTGTGAAGAAAATTAACAGTGAAATATAGAATAAGAATACGTATTATATATTGTGGATCAACAAAATGAGTTCAAATTATTTTCTAAGTCTCAATGTGTACAGAATGAAATGTTTCAGTAGTAGATCAGTGCCGATAGCTTTTAAAACATAATTAAATTATAGTAGAATGAAACTCATTAGAAAAGGAGGGGAATATTATAAAAATTAAAGGAAAAAATAATTTACGGGCGATCTCAGGTCGGGAAGTGTACGGGGGTGTGTATTTAATGGTAAAAATGGGTTTTCTCGATTTCTGGCAAATCTAAAATATAATTTTAAAGGCTTCTGCACTGGCCTATAGGCTCGAAACTGATATTCAAACATCAATAAGAAAACTGTAACATCATTTAGTAATTCTGTTTTTCACCAAAAATAGTTTGTAATTTTATAACCAATCAAACTTCCATATAAATACTTAAATAAACCTGAATAAATATTGGTATAATTTAAAACATTTCATTTCAATTCTCGAAATTTTGTACAATTACGTCATTATTATAAACAAAGGCCGTTTACCTTCTGCTGATATAATTCATTATTATTTTCATGAATGAACATTTACATGTAAGTTTATGTTGTTTTAAGCTCAATTCTCAGTATTAAATGGTAAATACATTGAGTCAGTTATTGGAAGTTGTCTGTTTATAGTGCTCTTGGGGGATTTACAATGACGACAAACCTTGTGCCCACGGTTCACTTTATTAATATATATAAAGGATTTTATCTTGGTCATACAATCATTCGTTTCACGATAGTCTCCCAGTGAACACGTACATATATTTTACATAACATCCTGTGATAAATATTATTGATAAAAATATAAACATGATTCGTCAAGGCTGTAAGTAGTTTTGTTTAAATTTATATTAATATAAAACGGACTGTTAAAAAAGTTAGTAGCTTACATTTTTTGCTAATAAATAATTATAATTTCCTCATAATAATTACGTTCCATGTTCCCGTGATCTTCAGAAGTTTATCAATGTCAAGATTTATCTCAATATTTACCGACTTTGAGATCGATGATAGATATTGAAATATGCAAATAGATTATTATTATTATTGGATACAAAATAAAACAATAACGCATACAGTTGAGACAATAAAATAAACTAAGGAATGTTTTGGTTATTATATGTATAATAGCTTTCCGCCCGCATCTTCGCCCGCGTGGAGTTCGGTTACATCGCGTTTCCAAGAGAACCTTTCAAAAGTCTGGGATAAAAACTATCCTGTGTTCTTTCTCAAGGTCAACTCTATATCTGTACCAAATTTTATTAAAATCAGTTCAGTGGATTAGGCGTGAAAGCATAACAGACAAACAGACAGTTACTTTCACATTTATAATATTAGTAGGGATTTTTCAATAAATTCGCCGTTCTATTCCTGTTGTTGATAAATTCAACCGAAAGATAGAATACCGAGAAATGTTTTGGGGATCGTTAAAAAAATATTTTATTTCAATATTCGTCATTAAAATTATTAAAACAAACAGATTAAGTAAATATATTGACGCTAACACACTATTTGCATGGGTAGACGTGGAGTAATTATTTGTTTTTATATTTACGTATACTTAATAAATTTTACATAGCTCTTTGAATCAATACTATTTTGAATTATATTTTCACAACTGAGCACATTTGAATAAATAGAAAGCTTTATGTGATATACGGTTCTTTAACTTTATATATTCTTCGATCAGTGATATCTTGTTAATGAAATATCAGACAGATGCTATTTAATTATAAATAATAAAATAACTATTTACTCTTGACACTAAGATCGTAATTGTTACTGCAATATCGACTTTGAAGGTGACCTCTATCATACCAACTCATAATAATTTCATTTATTTATTTTCGTGTGCACGCATTTGTTTTGTTTACCCAATATTCAGGGGCCATCTGAAAAACAGTGCTGTGCTAGTGCACAGCTTATACTGAGATGGACCCCCTTGCTACACTGTATTCTTTAAAGTAATTTTTTTTTCTTCTGTATAACTGTATAATATATGTAATGTATGTGTGTAGCAATAAATAAATAATTATTTGTTCAGGTCTGCTCTTCCTCGTGGGCATGTTCGCGTCAATGGCGTCAGCTTTGCCGCCGTGCGTCTGCCCTAAAGACATGAAACCAGTTTGCGGTTCAGACGGCCAGACTTATAACAACGAATGTCTGCTGAATTGCCAGAAAATTGAGAACCCAGATCTCGTCTTGGACAAAGTCGGAAGCTGCGAAGAAAAATCCAGTGGATGTTTCTGTACATTCGAATATTCACCCATCTGTGGCAGCGATGGCCGGACTTATGCGAATGATTGCGAATTCGACTGCGAGGCAGGCGACGCTAAACAAATGTACAGAGGAGAGTGCAGGCAGAAACGGGAGGCGCCGCTAGTCGTGGAAATACCGGACTGCGTGTGTACCAGAGAGGCTAAACCTGTATGTGGAACAGATGGACACACGTACAATAACCCGTGTATGTTGAACTGTGCTAAAGACGTATTAGAAGATCTCCACGTTTTCCACGAGGGTCCCTGTAAGATTGAGGGTAAAAAATTTGATCCCCAAGTCCCTGATTGCGCGTGTACCAGGAACCTACAGCCAGTGTGCGCTTCTAACGGCGTTACATACAATAATGAATGTCTCATGAGATGCGCTGGCGAAGACCTTGTTGTACAGAAAGACGAACCCTGTGATGACTAAATATATATATAAGAAGATTTTTTATACTTGTTAACCTATTTATAAGATTTTTATTCCATTATGTATGTTATTGTCTTATCGCGAAGGTCAAACAATTAACATCTGTTATTACACTTGACTCGAGTTTGACCTTTCGATTTGATTGTTGAAGTTTTCGTGAAGAATTCTTTGTGTTTTTGAAATTTGTTTCGAAATTTATAACAGTACTGTCAGAGCAATAAACGACTGTGATTTGATTAATGGTTTAATAAAAAAAATATGCTGACCGTATTTATACTGTTTATAGAATTTATTAAATGTTATCATATGAAAATATTTGTTTCTTTGCTTTATAAATATCACTTCATTCAAGAATTGCCAATCTTATTTATATATTTTTTTAAAACCTAACTAATGATATGACAAAGTAAAAAATAAACAAAAATATAATAAATCAAAAAAATTTATTAACACATACTGAGATTTAACTTTTAAATAATCCAAAAAACAATATAAAAATAAACATAAACATAAATGAAATATTTAAAGTTATTTTACACTCAAACATACAAAAACATTTAGTGTTCATACAATAGCTTTTAGTGATGTTCCATATTTGAATCTTAAACTATTTGGCACATGACAGTTTTTTTTTATTTAATCAAAGCAGGTTATATATCCAGATCTATATCAGCCAGTATCTCATCATCTTCATCGTTATCCATAAACTTGTCATCAGAGTCCACTCCATAAGTATTTGATTCTGAACTATTTTTCTCCGGACTCAGTAGAGTCAGTTTGCTTATACCGTGTAGGGTAGTTTGAGAGTCTGTCTGTGATTGTGTATTTTCCGTTTGTTCTTGCGATGCCTTCTTTATATTCGTACCTGGTATGTATTCGTTTTTGTTTCTGACTGGCGACATGTATTGTATTATGTTGTTTTTGGTGTCCTGGAAATTATGAACCACATATATGCAACTAATATTATAATTGCGAAAGTTTGTGAGTGTGTGTAAATGTTTGTTACTTCTTCACTGTCAAACGGCTGAACAGATTTTGATAAAATTTTGTATACTGGAAGCTGATGTCTAGGAATAACACATAGGCTACTTTACATCCTGGAAATCCACGGGTAACACCGCGGTGCGCAGCTAGTAATATACAAAGTATGAAAAATATATGTATGTATGTATATACCTGGTGTTTCATTTTCGTGTCTTCGAAATTGTCTCCACTCAGACCTACATCGTTGAGTACCTGAATGATAAAAATAAGATAAAAACTATTCAAGTATTTCTTTGTGACTGTACTCATGTGTTTCTCAATAACTTTATCTCTAAGCGAACATGTGTGTGTGTGATTCGTATTTACTAATCATATTAATAATGCTATTATACAGGGTGACTGGTGAATTACTATCGATATTTGAGGACGTGATATTTGACGATCATATATGACAAAATAAAAATTAATATAACATAAATATTAATAAACTTCTGAGTAAAGTTAACCAAAAGTTATGTAATTAATTACGCATCGTGTGAACACCCTACAGATTAGGTATAAACACACACTCACACATACGCGTTGTGCGGCGTTGTGTTGTATCAGCACGCCTTCGCACGCGTCCACACTTGGAACACTTGGAACGTGTCAACGCTTTATTTATTTATACGGAAATTTTGTCAAAAATTAAGTGCCTATGTTTTTACATAATTCGAATGAGAATCATGTACCGAGTATTCTCCTTAAATATTGATAGTAATTCACCAGTCACCCTGTATATTTAATATTGCTCTACAATTTTCACATAAAAATTCAATCCTTGATGATAACTCTATATGTGGTTCATACTTGAACTATTAAATTATATGGATTGATAAATGATATCACTATAGGTTTTTAATCATTTTAAACAGCGCTCTTCCAAACATGTCTGTATAAACATGTTTTTAATAAGTAAATGTAATATAGACACCAAAATTATACTGCAATACGTTGCTGTGTGTGTTGGCGTGTGCGTGTGTGTGTGTGTGTGTGTGTGTGTGTGTGTGTGTGCGCCCTCACATTAAGTTTGGTCTGTAGTAGCGGCCACATGTAGTCGTCAGCTGTTCCTCGCGCCAATAGATACCTCACACACACGGAGCCCGCGCGGCCCAGACGGTGAGCGCGGGACTCAGCTTGGATCAGAATCTAGAAACAAACGAACATACAGATATATATATGTATATATATACATGTAAACTCCATGTAACGTCACTCGATTTAACAACAAACTCTCTTAAGCGTCAAAATCATTTGACTTTGGTTGGTTTAGCTTGTCTAGCATACAATGATACACACTACATAGCGGCACACCCACTCTCAATAACGACAACAATTAAGTTGCTAAAATTAGTAAAAAGTGCGCAGTTGTGTACGTTCTTTTGTCGCTTTGTTATCCTAGCCCGCAATAAACTCGACTGTCGGAATCATGCACACCGAACTTTCTAAGAAATTCGTTCTTCACCAAGATGTCTCAATATGGCAAGATATGAATAAAATAAGTAAAAGACTACAACAACATTACTGGTGCAGCAAAACGCGTTAAACAAAAATAACAGACTATACGCAATAGCGTTCGAATAACATTCTTTTTTATGTACATAAGTACTAACACTAGTCTGAAATAAACTTTGTCTTTTTCTAATTCTGATTTTTCTTCTCTCTATTCAACGACAACTCTCTATAACGCCATAAAATGCACAGTCCCTTCAGTGTCCTTATATAGAGTTTACACTGTATATATATTTAAACATCAAAAAAGTCTCTTTCTAAGATTAAACAATACTTATTGTGTTCGTTCCGAAGTGTAATAACCTACAGTCAGCGACATCTATCGTCTGTAAGACGTGACTTCATTTTACATGAATTCATATTATTACTTTCGCTTATCAATGGAGTGAGATAACAAATCATAGCCTGTATTACCTATCAAGTATCCATACACAGGGATAAACATAATTTAATATACTTTAAATATTGTATATTTATATACTAACTCCTGGATTCCAGTGTAGTTCAGCGAATATGACAAGATCCGCTGCAGTCAGCGTGAGGCCGGCGTTAGCAGCAGTTATGGACAATACGGCGCAGCGACAAGACTCACTATGCTGGAATTTATCCACCAGGTCCTGGAAACATTAAAATACGATATATATAGCAGTTGAACATGGATAGAACTTGGAAAACAAAAAAGGTGGTAATACAGATATGGGTATAGATTGACGGTGAAAAGTTATCGCTAAAGAAAGATATAGAGAACACAAAGAATATAGGTAGTAGAGCTTAGTTGTAGTTTAGTTAATACAGCTCGAACACGGGTTGGCTCGACCGGGGAAGTACCACCCTCTCACAGAAGATCGATGTGAAGTAGTCAGTGATGACTGCGTTTCGTCCGATGAGTGAGAGAGCCGGTTGCCCTTTCCCTATTCGAAACCTTTCCTTGTATTTCCCTATTCCCACCCTTCCCTTTTCCTCCACAAGTAAGGCTGGCAACGCATCCTAAACATCTATGTATGTTGCCATATAGAAAATTGTCTTAGTAGATTTTTTTCATTAATGCACATAAATAGATGAGCATAGAAACTATCTAGAATTCAATGCTAAATATCAGTTTAATCTTAATTATAACTACTAAAACTTGTGTTAGAGACCATATATCATTGAAAATATATTAGAAACGTAGCAATGAAAATTCTAGATATAGTTAAATGGAGGCTGTGTGAGGGAAAAATCAACTATCAAGATGTTAACAGAGTGAAAATCTAACACTTGAAAATTAAGGGCAGTTTATATATATTTGTGTGTGTAGCGTTAAGTCAGTGGTGGCCTAGTCGTTAAAGGGTCCGCCTCTCATGCACGAGGGCGCGGGTTCAAACCTGTCAAATACCAATGTGATTTTTCCGAGTCATATGTACTGTCTGAGAGTATTTAGACACCACTGACATACGGTAAAGGAAAACATGGTTAGGAAACCTGGGCTTATAATTTCACAATTATAAGTTTGAAATCACCAACCCGTCTTGAGCGAGCGTGGTGATTAACGCTCAAACCTTCTCCGTGTGAGAAAGAGGCCTTTTGCTCAGCAGTGGGCTCTGATAGGCTGATGACGACGATGACGAGGACGCGGGTGTGTGTGTGTGTGTGTTATACTCACCGTCCGTACGTGTGTGGGCGTGGAGCCAACGATCCTTATGTAGTTCACTCGCTGTTCGTCCAGAGTGTCACAGATGGACTCGATCACGTTCTTGTGGTGAGCGAACACTAGGAACTTACTGCTCTCCTTCAGTAACTGTCTTATGTATTTACTGTTGATAAACAATACAAATATATAGTCTTCAAACATATTCATATAGGTCTCATGATTAGGTCTATTTAATAAAACATCCTATCCCTACTAATATTATAAATGCGAAATTAACTCTGTCTGTCTGTTACGCTTTCACGCCTAAACCACTGAACTGATTTTAATGAAATTTGGTACAGAGATAGAGTTGACATTGAGAAAGAACATAGGATAGTTTTTATCCCAGACTTTTTAATGTTCTCTTGGAAACGCGATATAACCAAACTCCACGCGGGCGAAGCTGCGGGCGGAAAGCTAGTATTAAATATATGTGTTACCACACAGCCGGCATCTTAATAGCCGCTGATTCATTAAAGTACTGTATCATAGCCACGTGTTTTTCTGATGATTTAGAGTTCTTGAACTTCTCAGCCATCTGACTGAGTCCTTGTTGCTGCTCTTTAGAATAATTCAACAGCGACTGATCCAAGATAACGGTCTCACTGAAATAAGATAACAATTTTTATAATAATGATACATATTGTCGGGTATAGTGCAAAACCGCGTAACTAGCATTGGATAATTCGTATCTACATTGGAAGCAGATTATTAAAAGGAAGTTTGAGCTGAAACATTTTCTAAATTAACGACTTTTAAGGTATTTTTTTCACAATCAGTCATTATTTAGTGTTTAATTTATTGCTAATTGTGAAAAAATTACCTTAAAAGTTACTCATATACGCGGAATTATCCAATGCTAGTTTCGCGGTTCTGCACTATTCCCGATTATATATACTGCTTTTTCGTGTAAAAAATCAGCTAAATGGATTTTGGTGTAAATAACAGTAATGTTTTAAATCACCCAGTCACGTGACAAACACTATAGTTGTCGCTGACAGTTGGTTAACACTTAACAGATTGCTATTACTTTAACATGTCCATAATATTTATATTTCTTTCTGAATATTAAATTCCATGCGAGTGGAATTGTGGGCAAAATCTACTGTGTTAGATTTCTTTTAATTAATAAAACTAATGTTTGTCGTATTAACTAGTCTTTTATAATTGTTTTAAAGCATAGTAAGTCCGATAAATATAGGTTTTATTTCAAAGAATACTCTCCAAAGTCTTAGATCTCATTCTTTTAAACTAGTTTTACGTTCTTCTGTTTAATTCTTACCGAGTCTTCTCTTCTAGATTTAAGACTTGTTCTTTCGTGCGTCGTATGAGGAATCTTCTTTGTAATATAACGAGCAGCTCCGCTAAGTTCGACTTGCCGGTCATGTCCCAACCGAAATTTGTTTGTTTTGCATCGCAATATCTTTTACCTGGGAAAGTGACGCAAAATGCATATTAAATATGAATAACGTAATGTATAACATTATTTTGTTATGGAAAAACAAATCATTAATATGTTAGAAATCTAATAATATGTTCAATATCCCTACTAATATTATAAATGCGAAAGTAACTCTGTCTATCTGTTACGCTTTTACGCCTAAACCACTGAACTGTTTTTAATGAAATTTGTTACAGACATATAGTTGACCTTGAGAAAGAACATAGGATAGTTTTTATCCCGTATTGAAAGGTTCTCTTGGAAATGCGATATAACCGAACTCCACGCGGGCGAAGCTAGTGTAACATAAATCTTTGTTTTAGGTCACGTAACGTTGTGACGTCATCGCTCGTGACGTCACGTCAGAGTCACTAATACGAACCATATTCGGTGTAAGTGAACAGCCTCGGCTCTAATAGAGACAGCTGTGTGTAGAGCTCGACTGGCCGGCTAAGGGCGGGCGTCCCGCTGAGTAAGACCGCGCGACCCTGAACACACAGCTTGAACAGGGCGCCCGTACATTGAGCCTTGGGAGATTTGAGGTGGTGAGATTCGTCCTATAGGTGAAAACTTATATGAGGAACTTCGCTCCATACAAATTATTATCTTCTTCTAGCTGCCAATTTCCCAGCTTTAGTCAGGGTCTCCCTTACATGTTATGAATTGTTTTTATGACCAGCCGCATGTATGACATCAACATTCTTTTGGGAATTATACTAAACACAAATATTATTATCATCATCATCAGCCTATCAGAGCCCACTGCTGAAAGACCTCTTCTCACGTGGAGAAGGTTTGAGCATTAATCACCACGCTCGCTCAAGACGGGTTGGCGATTTCAAACTTATAATTATCCTACTAATATTATAATTGCGAAAGTTTGTGAGTGTGTGTGTGTATGTTTGTTACTTCTTCACGCTCAAACGGCTGAACCGATTTTGATAAAATTATGTATACAGAAAGCTGACGTCCAGGAATAACACATAAGCTACTTTACATCCCGGAAATCCACGGGTAACACCGAGGGGCGCAGCTAGTGAAATTATAAATCTAGCTTTCCTCACGATGTTTTCCTTTTCCGTCCGTCAGTGATGTCTACATACTCTTAGTAAGTACATATGACTCGGAAAACTTGACAGGTTTCGAACCCGCGGCCTCACGCACTAGAGGCTGACCTTTTAACCACAAGGCAACAAGGACCATACTATTATTATCATATGAAAGTTAAATCAAATTTTGGATTTTTTTTATCGGAAGGTAAACCGCTTCGTAACGTAACGCGTAACGGTTCTACTGAGTCTGGTTTCAATTTATTTCGTTTACGGCATCAGTATTACAAGTATGCGACAAAAGTTTCGAGTATTAATTAATTTCTTGATAAACACATTACCAATTTGACATTCAACATTCTATGATTTTAAAGTAATTTCTTTATTAAATAGTTTACATTAACACTTAGTAGTTTTTCATTCAAACAAAATGGTATATGTGCATCTACCATAACTACATGATATTGCAATTAATGATAGTACTTACGACTATAACGAATCCAAACTTCTTCTGTTTCAAAAGATCTGTGTGTAGACTTATTATCTTATAACTAACTATAACGACCTCTACCTAAAACAAATACACAATCAGAAAACTAATATTATTACATATTTGAAGTTCATATGATGATTACCTGTTTATCAGAAACAAAATTAACATCTTTGTTACTTGTTAATGTAGCTATGTTCACTAGAGGCACTGATGGCAGAAGCTCGCTGATTTTGTTTTGCCATGTTTCTCTGGAATTAATAAATATATATACATATACTATTACATTATTATGTAATGACCAAATATACCTTAATAAACAGTTAGATCTAAGATTTTGCAAGTATTCATTGTAATAAAACTAATATTTTTCGGATTTACTTCACATTTATAATTTTTAACTACATACTCTCAACTTTTCGTTTACCAAGCAGCAACTGTGATCACAAGTAGACGAAATATTATTAAATCACATCATTCATTGTAGTATCTTGTTAAAAATAATTCAGAAAAATATTAGTTTTATTTCAATAAATATTATGTTTATACCTCATTGAAGAAGTAGTGACAATCAGTAAGGGCCAGTCGTGTCGGTAGTAACTAGCTATAGCAAGAGCTTGAAAAGTCTTTCCGAGTCCCATGTCATCGGCTATAAGACATCTACCTTTATGCGCTATTCCAAATCTGTAATTATGACAAAAAAATGACATTAAAACCTTTTTACTATAATACTTTTTTTATTTATACTATTTTTTGATGTTTTATAAATGTTTTAATTCACTACCTGACACCGTCTTCCTGGAATGGTAACAGTTTATTTCTAAGTGTAGCTTCGATTGGTGTTAAATCCACAGCACTATGATCGATTACAGGATCATTGAGAATCTACAAAATAACCACAAATTTACAGGCATTTTAAGGCAGAAAATAAATTTTAAAATATAAGAAGATATATTTTGATTATATGGCAGATTAAAATTTTATTTTTCACATACACATTGGAGATACTTAGTGTTAAAGTGTATTTTATTTAATAAAAAGGTTTGACATGCTTCTAACTTTTGTTAATAATATAGAAATATAAATCTATGGTATTCAAAGTTTGATAACTCCTTTATCATATTCTATATATAGGTATAAATAACACTTATATAATATAAAACTGATAATTCATTTGACATACAAGTAAATAATGAAATTAGACAAATTCATTGAAATTATATGGCAAATATAAGAGAATTTTAAGCTTAAATTTTAAGTTAACACTTTAAGTTATGGCTTGAGTATAATTTATGACAATTTGTTATTAGATTCGAACACAAGCAAAGCGAAAATAAAAAGTTAACATATCTGATGATTTTTAGTATGCAATTATTATTATTATATAAATAAACATATATAAAACTTTTTAGGTAGCTCTTGGCTGTATGCAACAGTTTTTCTTTAAAAAAAATCAATAAAAAAAAACATATTATTGCTTCATTTCATCAATGAGGTTAAATAGTTTTTAAACTTTGCACATCTTATTAACTATAATTATACACAGTTTGTGTAAGTTGATATATTTGACTTTCTCACTGTTAAAACTTTACTGACTAAATTATATTAAAGTAATATATATTATATATTATAAAATTGATCAACAAACCTTCAAAACAAATGCCGGTAGAGGAGCTATCACAATATGTGGTGCAAGAGGTGAAACTTTGGACATGAGAATCTCATAATCACTCATTGCAAAATTCCACAGCTTAGTATTTGAATCTGCAACAAGTAATTTATATAAACATTTAGTAATACTGTCAATAATTACTTCATATATTTTAAGATTCAAACATTCCTTACCAAATGACCTTGTTCTTAAAGTTTTGAAGATATTTATAAGTGGAGGACAGAATTCTGACATGCTCACTTCAAATCTGTCTTCAGATATCAAATATACGGATCCTGTGACAACATTGGATACTGGTAGCGTCGTAGTAGGCTGTTTGCTACTATTTGGCCTTGAGTATGGATGAAAAGTATGTGCAGAATTGCTTTTTGACTGCCCCTGTTTTAAATGTTCTTGTTGATCTGACGGTTTTTGGGGTTGGGACGTATGAGGGTTCTGACTATTATTTTTAGCCAATCTTTTCTGCAAAGCTGCTAACCGTTTCTGTTCGATTTGTTCCTTCGTACATTCCATATTAATATATGTACTTTAAATGACAACTTCATATATTACAGTTAAGGTAGATGTAAAACCTCCTTCGAAATAACAGTAACGAAAACACAAACGTAATTGTCAACAGCTGGTTTTTATAATATTTACAAATTTACTTGACTTATATGTCAGTTATCATTATATTATACAAGTAGTGACAATTGACATATGTCTGCTTACAATTTTTTTAAGAAAAAGCTGTGTGTTAAATTCAACTTGTACTTATTGATAAATTTTAAAGAGAAAAGCCATTTTTAAAAAATTCTAAAACCTTCTTCAATATTAAATCTAAATTTTTAAACTATATATAGATATTTTGTAAAAATGTTCTGTCTGGAATTCTTTTATTAGGTATTTATAGTGACAAGAGATCATAAGTAAAGCCAGAAACGCATTGTTCTGTAGACACTAGACTGTTAGTCCCGTGATCATGAAGAATTTGAAATAAGATTATACATATAACATACTTCCATATGCCCAAGAAAGTATACATAACTTAAATAGCTCTAAAGATATTTTATATTAAAAATAATAGGATTTAAAACTGGGAGAGGCTGATTTTCCTAATAAGTAGATATTATACTATGTTACTTCATGTATTTAGTGACTATTAACTGGAATTAACCTGAATAAAATTTTATTAAGAGCAAATTGTGCAAAAATAATGCTTGTAAAGTTGTAAAATGATAAGAAATTTCTTTTTAAGTTTTTCAGCTATCACCTTGCTGTTGTTACAGAGGGCCCAGAAATACTTCCATCTTACGTTTTGCTAATCACTATTGAAGTATGTACTTATAACAAAATTTATAATACAATGAAAGAAATAAAACAGACAAAATGAGAACCTTCTCTTTTTTTAGGTCGGTTAAAAAGACAAACTGCTCCTCACTTTAGAACTGTCACGGCAATTGACAGAATGAAGACTTCAAAACTTGTTACCATCATGTGTCTCACTCACTCTTTAGAAAATAACTTTTATAATTTTACTTACATCTCTTTCTTAACTTGTTATAAATGTCACTGTATTATATATCCCAATTGGTTAATTATTTTGTAAAAGTAGTAGTTGGACTTTGACATATGCTTAAATAATCCGACAACTGTACAGTGTTGAGTGTATTGGACTTTCCGTTCCCTTTTCTAAATTAAAATGTCTGAAAACAGCAGTCCAATTAAATACTTTCTTAGTGGAGGTTTCGGAGGGGTGTGTACTGTACTAGCCGGACACCCCATGGACACTATCAAAGTAAGATTGCAGACTATGCCTCTCCCTAAACCTGGCGAAGTTGCTTTGTACGCTGGAACTTGGGATTGTTTTAAAAAAACTGTACAAAAGGAAGGATTTCGCGGGCTTTATAAAGGAATGTCAGCACCTCTGACGGGAGTTGCGCCAATTTTCGCAATAAGTTTCTTCGGTTTTGGACTTGGTAAAAAATTAATCAAATCTGACGAAAATCAAGTTCTTACCAAACCGGAACTGTTCGCTGCCGGTGCGTTTTCTGGTATTTTCACTACATCTATCATGGCCCCCGGTGAACGTATTAAGTGTTTGCTACAAATTCAACAAGGTGGGAATGTACCTCAGAAGTATAATGGTATGCTTGACTGTGCCAGACAGCTATATGCAGAGGGTGGTATACGAAGTATTTATAAGGGCAGTGTAGCCACTATTTTACGAGATGTGCCAGCCAGCGGTATGTATTTCATGACCTATGAATGGGTCAAAGAAGTACTTGTGCCTGAGGATGCCACTGCTAAAGTGAAAATGATGGCAACTATCGTTGCTGGTGGCTGCGCTGGTATAGCTAACTGGTTGGTAGGCATGCCGGCTGACGTTTTAAAGAGCAGATTACAAACGGCCCCAGAAGGTACATATCCTAATGGTATGAGAGACGTATTCAAACAGTTAATGGAGAGGGAAGGACCTACTGCGCTATACAAAGGTGTAACACCTGTCATGATAAGAGCTTTCCCAGCGAATGCCGCTTGTTTTGTTGGTTTCGAGTTAGCTGTTAACTTCCTTAACTGGGTCGCTCCCAATCTTTGATAGAGATTTATATTTATGTCACAAAACTGTATTATAGAGTAGTAATAAGTGTCCTTATAAGTCAAACTTGTAATTTTATATAGCTGTGATTACAGATAAGTGTAATTCAGAATTATATAAAAGTATTGTCACATGTAAATATTCTTTTTTTATAATTGCCAGTTAAAATGACAATAATTATTATTTGCCACTTGATATATTTTCTTACAACATTTTATAATCCTTAGCTTATACACAAATATATGTAATGTTGAAATAAAAGTTTTATTTGCGCCTTCCTGTTTATTCTGTTCATTTTACTACATATAAATCTTTCCTACTATAAATTAAATTAAATATAATTCTCAATAGGAATATAAATTTTCTATAAAAGAAATACTTGACTACATTTTAAAGGTTTCTTATTAGCAAATCATTAAAACCAGTGTAAATGAAGCCATAATTTATTTAAAAAAAACATGTACAAAATTATATATACAAAAAATGGTACTTTTTCTTTCAATGAAACATTAGTTATCTAATAAAATTCTCTTCTAAATGTAACTTCTAATCTTCTATTTCTTTCTTTGTCGTTTTCTAACATTTTCTTTCTAAAGCTTTTCAGTTCCGATTGTTCTTTTACTTTCTTGTTTTTCTTATGTCCGAGACCAATTTTGTCATTCTTTAATACTGATCTGATGGGATATTTAGTTCCCGAGCCATCTCGTCCCAATCCCGATTCTTTATCCCAACCACCTTTCAGCATTAACTGGAATCCTTTATTTGTTTCGGGGATAGCATATTTTGTGGGTACTTTAATTCCTTTACTAGCGTTTATATTGTGTATTGTCGATGACAGATGCTCATCTTTACTATCAAAAGTTTTGTTATCACAGATTGTACAAGTGTATTTGCTTTTTGGTTTATGATAGTTTTCATTAGATTTTATATTTACATTTATACTTTCATTGATATCTTTTCTATGGTTTAAAAGTATATCAGCTAGATATACATTTTTATTCTTAATAACTAAACTCTGTGCTGAATTCCCAGCTTTATCTCTAATTGAACAATCAACTCCATGTTTGAGCAGTTCTTTAACAACATCAATAGAGTTAGCTTGACAGGCTATCATCAGCAAACTCCATCCATAACTGTCGATCGTGTTTATCTTATCTGGACAAATCTCCAATATATGTCGTATTGTATTTACATCATTGTTTTCCGCACAAGCAAACAACTTTTGATTAGATACTTCTTCGTCATCTAGTTTTCTTTTCCGTTTACACGAGGGCTGCGTTTCAGTCGTGTGTTCTATATGTATTTGAGGGGTTGAAATGCGAGATACTTCTTCCAAATAAAGTTTTCTAGCAGTTTCACCATCTATCAGACTTCTTCTATGTTTTATTTCGGTTGTGTACTCTGCAGGTACAAAATTGCTATACCCCCTTTTATACATGATTATAGAAACAATTTATTTTTGAGATTAAATAAAAAAAACTTGCGATTTTTATGTATAATGAATGTTTCAAGGATTATGGAAAGTTATTACAACTAGTGAAACAAAAATATTGTAAGAACGTAATTTTGACAGATGACAATCAAAAGTCAGACAATAGAAGTGCAATCAGGGCTTTTTGCCGCTCGTGTAGACTAAATTATTAAAAAGGGGTGTCATGCAGCTGTTATTTTAGTGATTGTCATTATATTACTTTGATAAAAAAAAATTAAAGTACATTGAATACTCATAATAGGGTTGTGTTTTTCAGATAATTTAATGTTATTTTTTCTTAGTAGTCGTTAGGCAAGTAGTTGAAGAAGACTTAGCCTAAAGTCCAAAGATTATAATTTATTTAAAAAAAAAACTGCTCATAGGAGACGGTGATAAATATGGAAGATAATTTCCTTATATAGGGAGAGTTCATAACAAATGGCACTGTCGACTTTGATCTTAGTCAAAAGGCCCTGAAGCATGTTTATTTCTAAGGGAGTGCCTACATAGGATTGCGAGAAGGGAGGCGACCTCCCCTTGCATTCCATGTGGCGATCCGATAGAGAAGGCTCGCTATCGGCTATACTGTGTAGGAAATGATAGACCCTGCATTGATTGACCCGTCAACAGCAGTAGGTGTTGGGTAAGAACGGCCTCCTTTTGCGAACAGGGATCCTCAACAAAGGAGAAAGCGGGTTCATTCTCATCTGATAATCCGCTCAGCAGGGGGAGGCGAGGAAAAAGGCAGGATTGCTTCCGTCGCCAATTCTTCCAGCTCTAGGTGCCATGAGAAGGTGTCCAAGAACCCTTCCTATTTCTACGAATGACGTTGTGAGGAAGTTCTCGTTTTCCAGGCACTCTCATTAGGGGGGTAAGCGTTAATTGTTTTTCTGCATAAGTTGGCAGGTACGAAGAGTCGTCGTCTTTAAAGCGTATCGGGAACCACATATAACCAGCCTTTTATCACGCCTGGCTTGGGGGTGAGCAGTAATTCATTATCTCTAACGTAAAAATCCAGTTTAGTCTAGGTTTAACTTCAATTTTGTGGTTTTGCTACTTTTGTTTAGCAACAATGAACTTAATTTGGAGCTAGACCTCGATTACAGCTCGTATAATAGATACAGTTTTAAGACAAGCAAATCTACAGACAAAAGTACTAAGAGGTATTATTTGTAGATAATTATATAATCTGCACCTTTATTTCTATAACTCTTTTAATTATATGGGATATGGATCTAAATAATGGTATAGATCGTTTTGAAATAACATGACAACTGACAAAGTTTTTTCAAACAATATTTTTAAATACAAAATGTTTTGTTTCGTCAAATTTTTCAGGTTTAACTGGTCGCTGAAGTCCAAAGAAGACTGAATTCTTAAACACTACTAAAACTAGTATTGAAACAAATATTAGGTTTAGATTTTAATTGTACGGGTATATTTTTATATTTTTTAAAAACCCGCGTTATCAGGAGTGGGGATATGAAACTGATTCTCTCCATAATATCATTAATTTTGCATTTTAATTATTTTTTATTTAATATTAGTGTCAGGATAATTTAGATCACGCTAGCAAAAAAAATATATATTTGTCAATATATTTTTTCTTTTCTTTTCAGTTTCAGGAAAGGACTCCTATTTTGTGGTCACCATTATATAGTTTTGTAGAATAACAACGCAGCTTAATACCCTCGAAACGTCGTGGTAAGAGGTATCCACTATAATGTCAAAAAACTGGCTTATAATATAAAATAAAAAAAATTGTCACAAAAAATTATAAATATGTTAATCAATCACCATTTTTAGAAAAAGTTTAAATTCTAATTTGCGAATTTTTGTCAAATAAGGACTAGACCAAATACAGTAGGTTTATTTTATTTTCAAATAAAATATTAATGTTTTCATAGGAAATCACTGTTTTTAATTAAAGACAAGATATGAATTTCAAATTTAATGTAAAATTAAATAGAAGTAATTAATTCAAAGGGTAGTAATATTTGAAAGTGTTTATATTTTTTACATCTTTTCATTTTAATTGTCTATGTATATAATTAAAATATAGCAGATTACTGTCTACCGTGTGTACATAGAAGATAATAAGAACAAATATGTGAAGATGTTCCATATTAGCAATTCTAACAGCTTGCTTTGCCCAATAGTTATACATATAATATTTTGTATAAAGAAGTATTATTGCAAAATATTTTTGTTAATACAAAATGTTCATAATGAAAGAGATACATGAAGAAAATGCTGCTCAATGTCATTGTTTTGTATGCCATTTCATGAGTACAGATAGTTCTATAAAATACTAGCTTTTGCCGCGACTCCGTCCGCGTGGAGTAGTGACTTCCGGCGGATTTTTGGTTCTTCCCACATAGTTCCCGTTCTTGCAGGGTTTTCGGAATGGTCGAGTTCCAGTAGAGTTTTAAGGATAAAACCTATGTTTTTTTTAATTCACAATGAAGTGCTCTTAACCAACAACATATTTATTTGTTTATTTGAATAAAGATTTTATAAAATTATTTCGACCAAATTAGGTACCATAAAAACGGTTTTCGTGAGTTAATCTTAAAAGATAGACATATACTGTGGCGGACTGTTTTTTAGATCATTAAAAGAGCTATTATTTTTTAACACATATTTTTTGTGTATCTTGAACCGTTTTCACGGCGCACGCAACGGAAGGCTTCAAAGATGAAATAATTTCTCCCGATTTTTACACATTTACCACTATATCTTTGCTCCTATTGGTCGTAGCGTAATGTTATATAGCCCACAGCCTTACTCGATAACTGGACTATCCAACACAAAAAGAATTATTCAATTCGAACCAGTAGTTTCGGAGATTAGCGCTTTCAAACAAACAAACTCTTCAGCTTTATAATATTAGTATACATTAGAAACTAGCTTTCCGCCCGCAGCTTCGCCCGCGTGGAGTTCGGTTATATCGCGTTTCAAGAGAACCTTTCATAAGTCTGAGATAAAAACTACCCTACGTTCTTTCTCAAGGTCAACTCTATATCTGTAGTCTGTACCAAATTTCATTAAAATCAGTTCAGTAGTTTAGTTGTGAAAGCGTAACAGACAGACAGACAGAGTTACTTTCGCATTTATAATATTAGTAGGGATTGTTAACTTTATTATATTTCTATCAAATATTTGTAAATACATATACATATTTCATCAGCACAATTCTACCCTATTTTTGGGTTGAGTGAAAAACATGTTTTTACAACTTATCATTTTATTGTGTTTTAAACTTATTTTTAAATGCTTAACTCTGCAAGAGCCTTATTTTTGAGATCTTATGTAAATATGATTGAATTTTTTTTATTATTACATCACTTTGAGAGTTCCCTGGCAATACTTTTCAATGCCTCGGTTTGTTCTTTTAATAGCTTCAATTTCTGTCTAAGATAATCTTTTTTAAAATTAACATAATCTTCTTTGATCTGAATCTTTCTCTGCTCCTGTACAGCTATCATATCACAGTTAAAGTTACATATACTTGAGTGTTTAGTGCTGTGTTTTGATGGTTTTAATTTAACTTTATTTGTTTTATGTCCAGAGTTGAATACTTTTGTTTCCGGTGGAGATTCGGGCTGACTGATCGTTGCTCCTGATAATTCATCATTAAAAGTCTCCTGTTGGGACTCACTCATTGTTACAAACTCTGTAGATTCTTGATAATCACAGGCTGTTGATATATTTTTAATACCCAGAGCCTCTTGTTCAGCTGATGTTAGCATTGTCGTCAGAAGAGGCAGTTCACCGTTCTTTTCTGCTTGTCGCTTCTTGGTTTTCGATCGGATATCATGCCAAGACTGTAAGAAACATTGGGTTATTATTTATAATTAGTTTTAAAATGGTCTACTACTACAGATTAGTCGTACTTTTCGCCACTGCCTCCACGTTTTTCTCGCTCCTGGCATAGCATTACATTCGTTTGCTATATTTTGCCATAGCCGCTGAGAATCTTTATAATTAAAATCCTGTGTAATTTTGCATGAAATTAATTCTGGATGTTTCGACATTAATTCTATAAGTTTCTTTTTTTGACGAGCAGTGACATATACACATCTTTGTCGTTTCCTACCTTCCATTATATGTCTCGAAGTATGTAAGAAGACTAGTACTTTGATTTTATTAAATTACAACCCCAACTTCCATTATACAGGCTAATTTAATTTATTAAATATAATATATAAACATATACGATCTTACTTAAAGTTTGTTGTTAATTGTTATGATTCTCTACAACAATAAACGCTGGTAGTGTAATAGACTAGAGAAATGACAAGATGTCAAAACAGTGACTTGATAACTTCATTATTTTCAAGTTCACCAAATTAAATTAAATGCTATAGGTAATTTTGTTTCCTACTTTAACTTATTAACTTAACTTATAACAATTTGTAAATTATTTTTATTAATTTTCGTAAATTCCAATATGATATTGAAATATTGTCTATGCCTTGATTAAATAGTCTTTGGTAGAGTCATTAATTTCTGTTTGTAATAATACTTATGTTCTTGATTCAATCAAGTTTTGTCCATGGCTGAATAAGGATAGTGCGTCGCGCAACTGTTTTCCAGTAAAATAATTTAAATATATATATAAAAGTGGTGTGTAATTATGATATGACAACGTTAAATCTGCAAAGGCTATAATCGTAAAGTTTTATTCGTCACCATGGCTGAAATGGGAGGATTGTTTTCGCGAAGATTTCTACCAACCATCTTTGGGTGTCTGCTTCTATTATACGTAGCGGAATACGTAAGTGCTATCATTATATTTTATTGTTATGCGTCATTACCAATCGCTAACTCTCATGATCATCCCGCAGAAACATTGTCTTTTAAAGTTTACCCACATAAACCTTCTAGAATTTTGAATACAGTAAATCCCAAGGCGATTGCGTATTTAGGAGGAAATGAGATCATAAACCGGTTTTCTTTTTTATTATAATTTTTCGTATAATAGTTTCTTATATTTTAATTATCTTACAACATCTAATTCTAATTCCTATTTTTTTATGTACCCAAACAAAAAACTCATGAAGATAATGATTATAAGTGGAGGATAAACTACAAAATAATATGCCTTCAGTTTCCTAATACAGGCGTAAATAACACAAATTAATTTGCTATGAATCTTTATAACAAATAGTGAATCATTACATATTGTTCTAATTATTCAAGTTACAAAGTATGAAGGAGAGACTAAGATAATATTATATGTTTAATATTATGTACCTTTATTATACATATATATTATATATATTTCGTAACTTATACTTAAATGACTAATAATGATTCATATGTTCATACAAATTCTTATCAGGTATATTTAATATTTACATTATTAACAAGTTAGATACACACATTTCAGTTTCTGTTATATATCTCTACTTTAATACACTGAAAAAATATTAAAGACCATTTATATGTATAAAAAATATTTAAAAAATAACTTTATATAATTAGGTTGTATTTAGATTCTATTAGTTTATCTATCGGCATAAAGTTATTAATGATTTAAGGAAAATTTGAGAAATCACACACTTAGTAGTGTATGTCTATTGACCGATTTAGACTCAGTACAATGATGTGTTCTAATTACAGAGAATTGTACTACATTGACTTCATCTTAAATAATAATAGCATTTAACATCATGCAATAATATTAATAAGAATTAAATTAATATCTATTTATGATACTAAATTCTTCAAATCAATGATTTAGTCAAAGTATGTAATGTTTTTTACTGTTAAATAACAATGACTAAGAATCTTATCTATTTTGATAATTTTGAAGATAATTCTATGAAAAAAATGATAATATATTTTTTAAAGTAGGAAATGCTCTGTTTATGGATAAGTTAGATTTTGAGAATATTTATTCGGAAAGATTAGACTAGATTTTATTCAGGCTTTTCTTGAATGTTGAAATATATATATTAGGTACTTAATCTTACAACAAATAATATATCATTTTACATTGTTGTACTATTTCTAAAATAAATATACAACACTTATTGAACAAAGTAAGTATACAAGTGGAGACTGCAGTCTTATCAAAAATATTTTTTTTATCAGTAATAGGATATTAAATTTGAACAAAAGACTTTGGAAGTGGAAACTTTTTATCAAAGATAATGGAAAAAATACTCCAGATATTTCATTGTATTTATGGAATAGAAAAATTTCCATTATTTATAGCAATTAATATGTATGGATGGAAAGGATAATAAAATTTATATACCTACTGAAAATAAGATTAATTTATTTGCATTGCTTAATCTCAAATTGCTTGCGAATTTTTCTCAATCATCAAGAATATATCTAGATCTTTATAAAAATAAATATATGTATATGTATTTTAACAAAATAATTAGTGCTGTAATAGTAAATTCTAGGAAACAAGTTGATAATTCCTCTTAAGTATACCCATAATTAGTGTTATGTTTGTAGTGAACTGGTTAAAGTGGTAATAATTAAATTTTAATGTTCATACATAACATGTTTGTGGTTTAAATATTCCATACAATGATCTATCTCCTCAAATGAATCATTGCTCACTGATAATTGAAATTCTATGTAAACCTAATAAGTCAGAAATAATTACACATTAAATGTCATTTTAATTTAGTCCTATTATATTTTCTTAAAGAAATAATCAGAAAAAATCCTTTCTCATACCTACAAAATACTTTTTAGACATATAATATCGAAAATAAATGTAAAATCACACACACTACTGTAAATTTGACACACATATAGGTCAAAACATGAATGTGTCCATGTGTGAGTTTTGTCAGTAAATGTCAAAAATAATGACATTTGTATTTTTTTTTTAATTTTAAGCCACAGTTTCATTGACATTGGATCATTATATACTGCCGATGTCAACGTTATTATTTATTAATATACTACAATTGAACTTGAAATAATCAATGGATAATATGTCTAGTATTGAACGTTTGACTGTCTTGTTTTTAAATTATCTAGTCTAATAACTGCTTTCGATTTTAAATAAGAGAAAATGTTTTTTAATATTTAAAAATGAATTAATGTAATATACTATGTATATAAAAACAAAGACGTGTATCGCATAAAATTCTTGACGAATTAATTAGTAAGTTTTTTTTCGTGTTTTATTAAGTTGTTCGTTTTTGCGCTGTTTGTTGAATGTCAAAGGTCGTGCTACGGACGAAATCAATTTCTGTGAGTGAACTAAAACTCGCACCTCTGGCCACTGGCGCTGTTTTCGCCGGTCTCGCTTGTATAATACTTTTTGCTAATATGAAGGTTGCATCTTTTTATAGTATACAAATGCAAAGCACCAATTAAATGTATATTTTTTAATTCGCAAATTTTTATACTGTTGTAATACGGCTGGCAATATTTTGGTAATACATAACAATATTTCTATATACATATATATGTATATGTTTTCTTTATATTAGTTTTGTTTTTCGTTATGATTGACAATTCCATATAAATAATGTCTGTCTGTAGAAGATAAAGACGAAATTCATCAACTAAATACGTGCCAAGGAATACAAGTCCCGAACCTTGGAACTGCGTTTGCCTCGGGTTGCTGAACCGCAAGCTTTTTTCCTTCCTTTATGACGTCATAAGCTTGATGACGTCATCACTATAAACATGATTCTCGTAAAAATTAACACAATGTCAAGATTTCGACTTTACTCTAGACCTTATGATAATAACAAACTCAAACTCAAACAACTTTATTCAATATAGAAGTATTACACTTTCTTATTGATGGTCATATTGAGACTACCACCGGTTCGGAAAAGAAAATACCCTGACCTGAGAAGAACCGGCGAAAGAAACTCAGCAAACAATAAGGTGCACCTTATAAAAAAAATAGCCAAATTTAATCTAACAAAGTGCGGCTTAACGATAAACCATAGATTAAATCGTGATGTGACGTTTAAATCCTAGTTTAATGTTGCCATATAATGCACCTATAATATATATTTTTATTCCTTCAGTACTTGTTTTTCCCTTTATTTAGGTAAAAAATACTTAAATTATTTTCTTACATCGCATCTGTAGTTCTTACTCACAAGTTTTCTTAGACTAAAATTATACGGATGTTATTCAGTTCTGCTCTTCTTGTGTTTATCTATGAATAACTAAACATTGTATATATTATGTAAACCATATTTGCGAGTGTCTAGATAGACATGTTGGTTGCGGCAGTGCATAGAATGTATTCACTGTCGGTAAACAATACAAGGCTGAATTAGACGGATTACGTCACATTGATGACGTCATGCATAACGCACACACACACGCACACACACACACACATATCTTTTTGGATTTCTTTATAAAGATCGTCTTCAAATGATAATTTGCTTTGTATAAATAAACATATGAACGTAATATATGATGTTAAACAAAGAGCGTAGAATAAATAAATTTATCGTCATACCCACTTTCAAAAGGCAAAATTTTCCTTTAATATAATATATGAAAAAATATAATAAATTTCTTATCTAATTTGTACTGTATGAATTCCTTTTAAGTATTACGAAACTGGTTATAAATAAAGTTCAAGTAAAATAAATTTGTATAATAAGTAGGTTATCTTTTAATTTATATTTTAATTAAAAGCAGTTAATGTAACCGATAGTTTAATATAACCAGGATATAATGATAATTTTATTTAAATCGACTGACTCACTGGGAAATCCTGTGTAGCGTCGACATGAAGTCAAAGTAAATAGTTATGTTAGGTTCAAATTTAAAGTTAAATTTGTCGAGTGTTTGTAAACTCGTAGATTCCAGAAATAGGTTTAATTTGAACTTTGTACTTCCTCAGTTTAGCTTTGAAGTTTGTTTGAACTTGTGTGGGAGTAATTAGTGTCGAGATATTAGCAAGGAATTATATATAATATACATTGGTTAATACATAGTTAATATATAATATTATTTACATTTTATATAGCATATAGTAATATGAAGGATACATATATTTTTCTATCATGTGTGTTTTCATGAATATATTTTTTTAAAATATTTATTTGACCGAATATAAAAAACAAGTTTTTTTATTACTTACATGTTCTATTTTCATTATGCCTTTTATTTTATCATATAAGGAAGTAAGAAAAGAAGTAGTATATAAGGAAGTAAGAATCTAGTAATTTAATATTATACTCTAAGAATGACTTCGTATGGAGTTATTTCTAACTTCAAATAGCTTTATATCTTTCTTACCTTTATATACTTGACTAGCTTTCCGCCCGCGGCTTCGCCCGCGTGGAGTTCGGTTATATCGCGTTTCCAAGAGAACCTTTCAAAAGTCCCGGATTAAAACTATCCTATGTACTTTCTCAAGATCAACTCTATTTCTGTATCAAATTTCATTAAAATCAGTTCAGTGGTTTAGGCGTGAAAGCGTAACAGACAGACAGAGTTACTTTCGCATTTATAATATTAGTAGGGATATGGAATGATCATAACTCATAAGTATTGAAAACATGAATCTGATGTTGATAGAATAATATATTGTCTAAAATTAAACATCCATTGGCATCCTGCACGTCGCTCGCACGTTGTACGCTGCGTGGCCGATGTTGTGTTTGTGTTTACAACTGTATGCCAATCATTGTAAACATTATAATAATAAAACGTACTAGCTACTTACACAACAATATAACGAGCAATAGTATGTGGGTGTACGAAATTAAATAAAACATATGGATATATGTATGTTTATATACATGGGTGTGTGTGAAT